ATGATAGACCAATAAAACTAGCGTCAACAGAAACCTTCTGAGACCTTTTCAGAAGAGAAAGGGGGTGGTAAAAGTTAACACAAGGATTAATTTTACTACTGTATCTTCTGCAAGGACCTGTTCATTGCCACTGTCACTGGAAAAGTATACATTGGTTTTGGCAGTACAGTAAAGAGTTGAATTTTGGACTGGAAGAGTGTAACCATCTAAAGATAAAACATTCTGTTTTAACATTGTGTTATTAACGGTGCTTGTAAACAAAATGTTTATTAGGACACATGAATTTTTTTTTGGAGACAATTGTGTTTATGAATAATACTTCTCACTAAGGTTACAAGGTTAAAATCCAATTTCAGAAATCATTTCTTGTCTAAAACGTTGTTGCCCACAAAGATACTTGGACTTGTCTAAGGCTAATCAGGTGATTCCTCAGATCTGAGACCTCTCTCTAGGGGGATTACTGAATGCAGATGTACTTGTGTCACACAGGCAGGAGGCCAGACACATAAACTGTCATAAATATGTAGCCAAGTATGTCTAGAATGAGACTGTTTAAGCTGTGCAACTTGCATACACTTGATGTATTTTTATTCCCTCTTTCTTTACTTTTCCACATAGGATAAAGGAGAAAGCTTTGGAGTTTGAGGGGGTTTTTTTTGTTCTCCTCTCCTTTCTCCTTTGTTTTCTTTTATTCTTGTGAAGCAAAGCACCATAAAGAAAATGCAGATTGTTTGTCTTTTTGAAACAGAAGATCTGTAAGAAGAGAGCTGTCACTAATGCAAATGACGTAAATATATCGGCAAGTGTACATTCAAAGGCTGTGGCTGTGGCTTTGGTTGTTTCCAGCAGAATAACATTAATTTCTTATCCTGCTTCTAAATTGGGTCAGCACAATGGGAAATTAGCACAAATAGAAAATATATTAATCAGTGCTGAATTTCGGTTTTAATGTCTTGAGATGATAATTGTTCAATGAAAGCTTTATTTGTGACTGCACAGCCTTTTAAGAAACTAAATGAAATTGTTTCACTCAAATTACTTCTTTTCTCCTCCAACCAGGCTTTCTTTCCGTTTTCTACTAGGTTTACATGTGTCCTGCTGAGCCTGTGCCCAGTGTAATTGGGTTGCTCCTTTTCCTGTTATGATTGTTTTTTGTTGTTTAAATCAAGATGACCACTTGTGTACTAAGGATTGGGAAGTCTGCCAAACTTGCTGCAGCGAGGTTTGCTTTCACTGGGATTGAGAGAGCTTTTAGCAAAGATTATGCTAGTCCTGTCTATGAAGGGCTATGCAGTGGCTTGATATGTTACAACGAAAACAAACAACTTGCCCCCACCAGCTCTCCAATGCCTGTGATTAAATGCAGAGCTTTTGAAGTAATTTGTGTCTGCCTACAGTACCAGTAAAAAGGTGATACTTTTTGCATTGTAGTAGGATCTGTTTGCCCTTACGTACAACACTCTGAGGAGAATACTACTCCTTCCTTTAGGAGCAGTTTAGTTTGAACCTAAGCATAAGCATTAATAGATATTGTTTTAAAATTTTAATGTAAAGGCAAAAATTTCAGAATGATAGATTCTCAAGTTTCCATGAAAACAGTATGTATTTTTATGGTATATTTTGTAGTATTTCATTTTTTCTTATTTAAAGCTCGTCCCTAATATTTGCAGAAGTTGCATAAAGCATGACTTCTGATAACTTCAGGCATCACAGCTTTCCAGAGTGACTTACATTTTAAAGTTTCAGCCGATACTGTTCTGTTCTGATTTTGAGGAAGAAGTTTTGCACTACATTTCTTTTGTATTAAAAAAGTAGAACAGATTTTTTTTTTTCTTGATTATTTTAAATGAAAGGGAGTAATGACTTTTCTTGAGCATCTATTTGGTTTCAGAGTTGTATACTTTGTTGGTTTCAATCCACTGTGTTCAATCAATATCCAGTTCTAGTAACATTGCAAGCAAAACTTTTCATGTGGGAGACAAACACAGCATTGCAGGTCTTCATATGATGCGTGCTTCTGTTCGTAGAGCAGTAACCTACTGCTCAGCGCTAAAACACATTTTTGAAGTGTCTTTTAGGTGTATACTATGTGTGGACCTTGTAAGATTGGGTTTTATGTCACTGTGTTGTGGCTGTCTCTTGATGTCTTGTATGTTGCGTAAGGTTCTTGCCCTCCCAACTGTCCATTGCATCCAGATTTGGGCCATTCATCAGTATTGATCTTGTCTATGTTCAGAAGGTACTGCTTTCCTAACTGACCTTTTTGTACTGAAATTCGCTAACTACATTGCCTTTCTCGCTATTCACACCACTTTTTTCCTCTTCTGTTGCTTTGGGTTTTGCTGATAATTGTAAAAACAAAACTGATGCCATAAGGCAACATCAGTGATTCTGACTCCTCATCTTTTATCTAAGACTCTGAATTGACGTCTCCATTCTCGTCTGCTTCTAGTCCAACCACTTTCCTTCTCGTCAACAGTGTTTAGATTCTGAGATTGCTATGTGTGCTCATGCTAATGCCAACAGAGAAGAACAGGAAGGGATATGATTATGATGGACAGAAGTGAGATGAATGCTGGAAATACTGCAAAAAGAGAAGAGAATTATTATGTGAGGTGCAGGGGAGTCAATAGCTGAATGTCTCTGTACTCTTCATTAGTGTCCAGCTATCTGTCTGTTGTACTCGTCTCTGATGATTCTTCCTCTGTGCAGAGAAAGACCCTGTGCATTTTTCATTCTCGAAACTCTTTAAAATTCAGTATGGCTGAAATACAGATTATTGGTTTTCTACCTAAACCTTCCCTTTTTTCTGTTGTTCCCTATTCCTGTATTTCTTTTCTGTTTTATTTTTAAAATGTCTTCTGTTTTTTTTTCTTTACCAAATGCTTCTGAAAATTCCCTTACATTTCTAAAATGTCATCTTCTTTTATTTCTGTTATCAAACCATAAACATTTTGTAATAGTTTTTGTTTGCAACCATAACAGTTTCACTCCTGTGCATTTCCTTGTTTTTTAAAATGTACTTTTTCTGAAGTGCAAGTACCACAGTCACAATTCTGTCCTTCATAACTGGCTGCATCCCCACGTTAAGGGTTATATCTGTAATTGGTAGAGCTATTAATAATAAGAGTTCACCTAAGAAGATGTCATTGATATGGCCATATGTAATCTTAACTATAAGGATGTAGGTTGCCAGAGGAGGAACAGAGAAGCCAGCAGTCAACCTCTAGCATGAAATAAGGTGGAGTATTATTTCACTGAGCACTTGAGTGAGTACTGGACTGTCACTGCCATTTTCTCTGTGAAATTTAAGAAACTGTCGTGTTTCCTTTCATGTGTCTCTTTCTTTATGCTTTCTTATGATTTTCCTTAGGAAAGCTTAATGTACTTAGAAGGTGGGTTTAGGGGAAGTATTTCACTGGTAGTAACTAACCGTACACATAATCAGTATCTAAGCAGAGACGATACCAGCTAAAATGTTCTTGTATTTCTTTTTTTCCTGCCTATTTCTTGTTCAGCAACATCTAGTGATATAAACATCAAAAACTGGACTGTGCTTCACGGTTTCCTATTAAATGAACTCTTGCCAGTTACCTTAACAGTACCAAATTCTGCTGCTTTGATCCGTTTTACTTCTTCTTTAGATACATTAGTTTATTAGTATGCTTGCACTTTCATTCAGAGTCGCAGTAATAAGTAGGCTTTGAACTGAGACCTTTTAAGTGCTGTACTGGGCAGTAGTATAGTCATAAGCAATTACTTTGTGGGTGCTGTGGGGAAACATGTGGCATGGTATTAGTCACATGGAAAGCACGTGAATCCATGGTGTCTGTACTGGCAAAGAGTTTGTTGCTACAAGCACAGTGTTGTGGGGAGTGGATGCAGTGACACTGTATTTTCCAGTGTGACCTGACACACATAAGGAACTGACGGAATTCAATTCATTACGAAATTTCTCCAGAAAGTGTTTTCGTAGCTTTCAGCCCTGAGATTTTGTGCCTGATGTCAGTACTGCTGACAGAATTTTAAGAATTTAAAATATTCTGGTATCAGTTTTGGGAAACTGAAGAAGCCACTGTTATATTACAAGTGGTCAGGTGTTTCTCTGATCCTGAATGTGCAGCTGATCTGGTGGTACCCCTTCCTTTTTCTGCTTTCACTTCAGAACCAAAGGACAGTAGGAACTGAAGGGGAAAATACAATAATTTATAAAGACAATGAAGAGAGAAAAGATTTTTGTGTAATGGAGAAATGGAAATTTGGGGAGCTAAAAGGATAACTTTAACTGAAGGAGGGAGAGTTTCAGATGGCTGAGAGGGGTGAAGTCAATGTTGGTAAGAAGAGCAGAGTTCTCTCACTAACCACAAAAACAACTGTTGTCTTTGGATGCTTCTCCTAACTGGGGTTGAAAATAAAATCACTCATTGCTTTATGTGGCTTTGCATCATCCTTTTTTTTTTTTTCCCCACAGTTGAGGCTGTGTTTGTCCTTTGTCTGGAAATGCCTAGTGATATCACTTAAAGTTCTGAAAGTACAGGAATTGTAGGTTTTGATAAGGTGACAGAAGCAAGTAGAGTGATCTTATGCATGAAGAATCCATATTTATTGTTGAGATGCTAGTAACGGACATAAGCTCTCATATTTTTCTGTTGAACTGCATTAAGCAAATTGTACACTTTTCTTACTACTCAGAGCAGTCAGCTCTCAGTTCTTGTGATCTACTTGAACCACAGTCATGGCGGGGAGAGAGAAAAGAAGTATTTAAAACTCAAACTTACCAGTTAACAACACCACTGAGTTTCTTCCTACTTAGCCAGGCTGGTCAGGGCAGTGGTTTTACACGTCTTTCCCCCATGCTCTTTGTTTCCTTGTCACCGGTTCAGTCTCTGTTTCAAGGCCGAGACCTGCATTTAACAGGGATCCAGTGCCTCACATTTAGAATTATGAGGATGGAACTGGAGAGAAAGAAAAAAAATCTGTTTGCCTTTTCACTTGCTGCATAGGAGAAAGGCACTCACTCCATCGGTGTCGTGTTAAATGTCAGAGAGTGTCTTTTGTGGGCCAGAGCCATATCTCTTGTGTTAGGACATGGAATGACTGATGTAGCTGGGGGAATTCTTCCCAGATGTTGCAAGAAGCAGATAGGTCCTGGATGAAAACTCTGCTTGGCTTTTCCACTACTTCATGCTAGCCTGATGCACCATTGAAATTCAAAGATTTTTTTGAAAGATTTGGAATTGAACTGGTTTTGTGAAAGATTTGGAGATGCTAGTTCTTAATTTGCCTTGCAAAACATAATCAGACTTGTTTTTATTGTTACCTTCTGTCATGCAGTGTTTTCTTGGAAATAGTTTGGGACAGAATTCAGATAATTCTAACTTTTGCTTAGTACTATTAACTACCGGTGCATGGTTTATTTACTGTGAAACATATGAATATTCTTAAAGTGATAGTAAGTAAAGAAAAATCTGACAGACCCTCAAGGAGACTTTCCCAACTACTGAGGTGATAATAGACACGGAAGAGTGAAAATATCACTATAGGCAAAAATAGAAAATTGTATTTGTAATGTTTACTAAGCTTGAGGTCTCTATCAGGCTGAATCCACAAAGCAGTAATATCTTCCAGAAACTATTTTTTTACTGAAATACTGTGTTTCTTACCTGATTTTAAGCAATTGGGCATCTCTTGCCAGCCTTACTGCATAGCCAAGGAATGCAGGTATCCTAGTGCAAATGCTCACCTTGTCATGTGGTATTGCTTACACAAGTAATCGTTGTAACCAAACAGTATAAATCATGTAGTTTAAACTATTTGCTTATTATATAGTACCCATAAAAAATAATAATATGAAACCGATATTATAAATCATGTTATGTAACTTAGAGCAAGGTGTTCAAAAACAGTTACAGTAATCCAACAACACACTTGCTATTTTGTAAAGAATACTTCTTTTCTATGCAAAAATTTTTTGATACTCAATATTCTAGGTATGTGAACTTTTAACTTGTCAAACTATTGTAACATATTTGAAAATTATAGTAATTTGATTAAAATGTTGCCTATAAGGCAAAAGGTTCAGTTAATAGAATCCATATGTAATTAAAATGCAGAACTAAATGTAATCAGACCCCAGTGACTGGTGCCTTCATATTGATAGTTTTACAATGGCCTCTGGGGTTGAAAGTTTATGTTAAAGTTAGTAATGTAGCTGTGCTCCAGAAAAAGAGCAAGACAGTTTAGCCTTTTCAGGTATGGCGACATCCCAAAGTGATAGTAAAACAAGAAAAATAGTTGATAATCTGAATTTTAGGGGTGTCTTCCACTGGCAGGTGGTAGAAGCACAAGACTGCTGGGGTGTACTAGCCAGAGAATT